TTTTTTTTTTTATGATAAAAATAAAAATTTTATATTGGAAAAAGAATTGGAAACAGCTGGCTGGTGAAAACAATTTTTAGAAAGTGTGGAGGTGAACATTGGCTGACTCTTACTAAGCATAGCCTCCACTAAAGGACTATCTCTGATCACCATGGAAATGGAGGGATTCTACCCACAACTCAACTATAAACTTATCCTTGAAAAAATTCTTGAAGCTACTGAGCTAATCAACTCAAAAGTGAAAGCCGAGGATGTTTTCATAAAACTACAAATCGAACCCCAGACTCCAGATGATCAACTTACAAGTCAAAAACAACAGAAGAGGAACAACAACATCTGCAACCTATTAAGAATTTTGGTAATCCCACACTGACTTTAACTACAGTATCTATAACTCCAAAAGCAACAGGAACTGATCAACAAACATACCACATTGAGAACTTAGACAATTTAGCTAACCAAACAATAACTACAACATCGGATATGACTTTCTACTTTACTCAGATGAAATTGGAAGAAGAACAAGAGGACCAGACTGAACTGATGACAAACATTCCAAACCAAACATGGAGATTTGAATTATTAGGGCAACAACCTAATTATTACAAAGGGGCCAGTTCCTTTGAAAAATTGATAACTGGATGTTTTCCCTTGGTTCAAACAACATGTGTGGGAATGAAGGGAGACACATCAGTGGATTCGAAGGCACTGGTATGGAAGCTTGCCTGGCACAAAAAGAAAGCCAGAGTTAGATTTAAAAATGGGATTTAAAAATTCACTTAATGGGCTAAGTAGCTTTTTGGAGTGATTGGTTTAATATCCAGGATTAAGACTTATAAGGGAAATTAAAATTGGTAAACTTGTTAGATTATAGTTTTGATTGTCAGATGGAAATACATTTGTGATAATGGAAGATATTTTGTTAGTAAATGAAATAGAGTATATTTGTGAACAAAGTAAGAAGGTAAATTTTGGAACAACATGTTTATTCTAGTTATCTTAAGTATTTTATAATGAAATGAGGGAAATTAAGGATATCCAAAACTTAAATATTGGTTATAAAAGGCAAAATTGGAACATGGCAATTGGAAGTAAGTAAAACTTAAAAACAGGACTTGGATATGTATAGGTAAAATGTCAGAGTGATAAATGTATTGATTGATTGAGCTTTAGTTAGAAATGTATTAATATGAACATGATATAATATTTAAGGGAACTAGAGAGGGAATCTTTATTGATGTAACCTGAGATACACATGAATGATTTTGTTATTGGACTATTGATTACCCTATCACCACACTGCTTCCTAAGCACCTGGATGTAAAAATTTGAAAAATTAATAAAACTTGTTTTTTTAAAAAAGGAAATAATTCTTGTAAATAATCACACACACAAAATACTTTATTAAGAATGAAATTATTGTACAGTGAAAGATTTTATTTTTTTTATTTTAGTTTCCATTTCTGTTCATAAGAATTTAACACACACATTTATATCTTCCAAGGATATGCAGTTTTGGTAAACTTGGCAGACCTCCAAGGTGCCTTCCAACTTTTTATTATTATTATTATTATTATTATTATTATTATTATTATTATTATTATTATTATTATTATTATTATTATTATTATTATTATTATTATTATTATTATTATTCTCATATTCTTAGAAGAATATTATGAATTCCAATTCACAGCACAAATATTTATAGCCACAATTTAATAGTCAAAAGTGTTTTCTCTTTACAAGTTGAACTTTACTGTTCAGCTCAGGCCTCAACAGAATAATGTAGCATTTGGGGAAAAAGATGCATCCCAATAACCCAGCACTAGAAGCTAAAATAGAGAAGACTTCCACAGCTACCATATACTTTCCTTTGATACTCAAATACGTTGGAACAAAAGACAACCAAACACTACAAAACATCAGCATGCTAAAAGTGATGAACTTGGCTTCATTGAATGTATCTGGCAGGTTCCTAGCTAGGAAAGCCACCATGAAGCTGATCAGAGACAGAAACCCCATATAGCCCAAGACAAGATAAAACATCACAACAGACCCTTCGTTACATTCTGCTATGATCTCTTCAGCCGCTGATTGCATATTAAGCTCTGGAAAGGGGGGAGAGGTGATCATCCACACCAGACAAATGCCTGCTTGAATGAAGGAGCCAGAAAAAACAATTAAGATGGACAGTCTTTTCCCCAACCACTTTCTCATGCCAGACCCTGGTTTGGTGGCCATGAATGCTACAATGACCATGATAGTTTTAGCCATCACAGAAGAAATGGCCACAGAGAAGATAATGCCAAACACGGATTGTCGGAAGAAGCAAACCAGTTGGAGAGGTTTTCCAAGGAAGAGAAAAGAACAGAGGAAGCAAAGCAAAAGGGAGATTAGAAGAGTGTAGGTGAGGTCCTTGTTGTTAGCTTTAACAATAGGGGTGTCTTTATGTTTAATGAATATTCCAAGTATGAATATAGTAATGACTGAAAATAAAACAGCAACCACAACTAAACTGATCCCCAAAGGTTCTTCAAAAGTTAGAAATGTTATGGTTTTGAGGATGCATCGAACTTTGTCCCTACTTGGATATTGGTCTTCTGGACATTCAAAACAGGCAATCATGTCTGCAAATAAAAGAGAGGCTTTAAAGCATGGAATCATAGGTGTCACATATACTACAGTACATAAAGAAAAATCAATCATGGTCATCAATCATGTGATCAAATTTGGCTTTTATTTTCCAGCACCAATATATGTACGCAATCTACTTATTTTATTTATCTATTTGTTTATTTATCAAATTTGTATAGCTATCTGATCAAAAAGTGATTCTGGGCAGCACAGAACAATGACATAGAACAACAATATAAACCACCAAATATATAACATATAAAAATCAATATTAAGAAATATCATTAAAAAAAACCAAAGATAGAAGTCCTACATATGAAAGGAATTAAAATGGCCACCTCAACAATCAAGCCAGATCTTCAGGTTATTTCAGAATATCAATAGGCATTGGAGCATGTCTAATTTTAGGTAAAAGAATGTCCCATAAGACCTGAGCTATAGCATAGAAGGCACTTCTTGTGTACACCAAATGTAAGTGCCCCTAGCATGCTTCCTCTGCCAGAGGTAGTGAGTCAGACTGATTCAACAGGGGAGTGGTGGTCCCTCAGATAGCCTTGTCAGAAGCCATCCTGAAGCTTCCAATACACTTCACGGACAGCTCCATCTAGAGTGTATTGCAGTAGTGCAACCAGGAGGCTACTAGGGCATGAGTAACTGTAAGCTGGGCCTGCCAACCCAGGAATGGGTAGAACTAGCCCACAAGATGAACCAGTGCAAGGGCCTCACAGCCACAACTGCCAACTGCTAATTAGGGAATCCTGAATCTGTGAGGACCACTAGATTTTGCACCAGGTGTCATGGTTCCGATAGATGAGACCAACTAAAACAGAACTCTGAGGCTTGAGTTTTCCTTTAAGAACATGTTTATTGGCTACAAAATATCAGCACCGTCAAAAGTGAAACCAAGACTAAAATTCCCTCCAAAATGTTACAGTATTACAAAGTTAAACTTCCCACCCCAGTACTATGCAATCAACTAGTCTAAAGAAAAGAAGAAATAGGGTGACATGATAGCAGTATTCTAGTATTTGAGAAGCTGCCACTCAGGATCCAAAAAGATCTTGACAAACTTGAACAATGGGCCCTATCCAACAAAATGAGTTTCAATGTGGAGAAAAGCAAAGTCTTACATTTAGGCAGGAAAAAACAAAGGTACAAATATAGATTGGGCGAGACCTGGCTTAAAAATAATAACTGTGAAAGGGATCTTGAAGTCCTAGTGGATGATCAATTGACTATGAGCTAGCAATGTGCAGCAGCAACAAAAAAACCTAATACAATCCTGGATTGTATAAACAGAGGCATAAAATCAAAATCACGTGAAGTATTAGTACTGCTTTATAAAACCCTAGTAAGATCACACCTGAAATACTGCAGCCAGTTTTGATCACCATATCACAAAAAAGATGTTGAGAGTTTGGAAAAAATTCAGACAAGAGCAACAATGATGATCAAAGGCCTGGAGACTAAAACATATGAAGAACGGCTATGGGTCTTGGGTTTGGCTAGTCTAAAGAAAATAAGAAATAGGGGAGACATTATGGCAGTGTTCCAGTATCTGAGGGGCTGCCACAAGGCAGAGGGGGCCAGGTTGTTCACCAAAGCACTGGAGGGAACGACAAGAAACAATGGTTGGAAACTGATCAAAGAGAGAAGCAACCTGGAAATAAGGAGAAACTTCCTGACAGTGAGGACAATCAACCAGTGGAACACCTTACCCACAGAAATCATGGGCACTCCATCACTGGAGATTTTTAAAAAGAGACTAGACATTGACCTGTCTAAGATGGTATAGGTTCTCCTGCTTGAGCAAGGGGGCTGGACTAGAAGATCTCCAAGATGCCTTCCAGCTCTATTCTATTCTAAAGAAGAGGGGGTCAAATTATTCTCCAAAGCACCAGAGGGCAGGACAAGAAACAATGGTTGGAAACTGACCAAAGAGAGAAGCAACCTGGAATTAAGGAGAAACTTCATGACAGTGAGGACAATCAACCAGTGGAACAACTTGCCTTCCAAAATCATGGGCGCTCCATCACTGGAGATTTTTCAAAAGAGACTGGACAATTACTTGTCTGAGATGGTATAGGTTGTCCTGCTTGAGTGGGGGGCTGGACTAGAAGACCTGCAAGGTCCCTTCCAGCTCTATTCTATTCTGTTCTGTTCTGTTCTTCTGTACATGCCTACAAGATGTTCTCTGTGCCCTCCTTATCCAGGAGGACTGATGTCATTTGAAAAAAGTATTAGCTCTTCCTCCCTATTAGCATCATAAGGTAGGCCTTAAAAGCAGCTCTAACAGATGTTTGGTTGAGTTTGTCATTTGTTGAGTGCCAGCAGTGCTCTAGATCTCTTTTCCTGTTTCATCTCTCTCGCCTCCTCCATAAATCAGCAGAGCAGAGTAGAATACAGACCTAATTTACCTGACATGTTTGACATCTTCCCATCAGAACATGGATCACAATCATAGCAGCAAAATTTCTCGCCTTCTTTCTTTTTCTTCTGATAGCCAGCAGGACAGGGATCATTACACAGTGAACGGGGCAAGACCTGTTGATAAACCAGGATGGAATTCAGGACTGAAGACCTGAGTAATATTGAACATTCACCCTCTAGACTACCTGCACAAATAGAGTAACAGGGATAATAGGATAATGAAATGAAGTGCCCCCCCCTGGAAATCTCTCCAACATTTCCTCGGTATTGCATAAGGCTACATCCAAACTATTCTTTCCCTTCCTCTCTCTGGATTAATTGAAGAAGCAGAAGGAATAGTTTAAAAAATGCATGCTGTGAGACTTAATACTTAGCTTAGTACCATCAGAAAATGAATAAAATATCTCAACCTTAAATCTGCCTCTGAGCACTAACTCAGGGATTAAAGTTTAACATATTCCTCCTGGTCTTTCAATTGTCAGGTCATGGTTGTTCCAAAATGCTTTTTCAAGAGGCAGCTGGACTTTCTTTGTTTTTCCTTGAAGACATTTCACTTCTCATCCAAAAATCTTCTTCAGTTCTCACTGAATGGTGGAGAATGGGAGGCAAGGAATATAAATCCTTCCATTCTCCACCATTTAGTCAGAACTTGAAAAAGCAACTTTGGGATACAGTTCTCCTTCTGTTTCTGATTGATGGACTTTTCATTATTTTTTTCCCAACCATGACATTAGGAATCTGTTACTCACTTTTTACGCTGTTGTTCATACAACTAAATGGGAAGCTTTCAAAATACCACATCTTCCCCCAGCCCCAGCCCCTCTGTAAATTATCTGCCAATTATAATTCCCCCAGAGCAGGAAAAAAAAACGTCATATAGAGTGGTTAATTTTAATTGATTAAAAGATCTGAAATCAAACTATACAATTAAACTCATCTCTGATCTCCAGATCCTTCATTTCAAATAATAAAACACCTCAAAATCATACCCTCTGAAAATATTTGGGCCAGACAATTAAATTTTCATGAATCACAAATTCATTTCCTTCAAGTGTTTTGGGATCCATCTTTCCAATTTTCACTTTACGGTAAGAGTTGTTTGGAAACATGATGACATTTGTAATATCAAATCCAGAAAGCACTTCTCCATGATGGTTGATGGACACAGTTTCTCCAAGGGAATTATTAAATGAAAGGCCTTGAAGAAACCAATGAAGCTAAATAAAAAGGAGAGGTAATAAAGCAGTGGATTACTTTCAAGATTTCATGAAATTTATCTCTATTGAAATAAAAGTGACATTACTAAAGTTGCACTGATTTCTGTCAATCAGTTTTAAGTATTTTTGTTGCTTATTTTGTCATCTCACCCAACTGAAGAGACAAGACTTTTGGCTGTGAACTTGATGTTTCCTTTAGGTTCAAAGTAGAGGAAGAAATGGGACTTAGAAAAGTATAAATTACTCCATTTGTAAGGTGGTTCCTTCAGGTGTTATGGAGAATTAAACCCACACTTTCTTCTGGGTGTCAGCCCTTCATCTCCTGGAACAGTGTTATCATATCTTGCCTTAATTTTCTCTTCTTTAGGCTAAATGCACTCAGTTAATTTAACTTTATAAGGTTTTAAACTACAAGCTTCACAAGATCTTATCACGCTTCTTTGCACTTTTTCCAGTGCCTCAGGATCCTTCTCATATTCTAGTGACCAGTACTGGACACATTCCTTCCAGGGTTCAAAATGCCCCTTAGAAGCTGGTTTGTGAAGCCATGACCTTGCAAGGTTGAAACGAACTTCCTATCTTGTTTCGGGCTGCTCCCTTTAAAAAAATCTCTCAGCCTTGTGCTACAAAATTTCTGCGAACATGGTGTCTTTAGCCTCTGCCAAAGATCTTCAAGATGGGAATTCCTGTGATATAGAATCCATCCTCCGATGCATCCTACCTCGCCTTTGCAATATCAACACCAGTTTGGTTACTATTAGGCACATGCTGAAGCTATTACACATTGTGTGGCTTCAACAGAGAGGGAATCCCATGCTTGTATCAAACTACCCAACATTAAAGACCTTCAATCAGAACTGCTGGGGAGGGCTGAGAAAACACTTCTGCAGCACTGATCCAGCGTTCAGGGCAATGGGAATGCTTTGTTATAGTGAATCCCTATCACTGCCTTAATTGAACGAAGAGAATCATATCAACATTCAGTGCCAACCTATTTGCAGAAGTGAATAATTCATTTACACAGGTCTTTTAAACACAGGTCTTTCCAGTCATAACTCACTTTTGTCTACTACTTCCTCACTAAATTGAAAAATAGGAAGAAGTTCAGTCTGCCTTTACTGTAGATGCTACTCATTTGCTCCTGGCAATGAAGGTGTTTCATTGACAAGTTATTACCTTCCAGGTGCCTTGATTGTGAAGTTCATCCCTTCTACTTTCTGTTACTCTTTTGTATTTAGACCTAAGTAAGTTCATGCCATGAACAGCATGTGCTACAGCATAGATTGCATTGTAGATACTGTAGCTGTGGCCAGTCATTTCAAATAAATGCCCAGGAAGGTTTTTTAGTTCTTCTCTCCTAGTACAAGCTTCATCACTTTCAACTGGCTTTTTGATGTCAGAAAAAGAGCAATCAAAGCTTTGCTCCCAGAATTCTTTCAACAAACTATCTCGTTGAATCCACAATGGTGTGATGGACCAAAGGAATTCATAGAAATCCGGCAGTTCATTGGATTTAATACCAAAGGATATTGCTCCATCAAACATTTGCAAATCTGAGGGTCGATGAAGACTTGTTAATGTCAAATCCATTTGAGCAGTCAGAACCCACATTTTTCCACAGCTGTTCTCGATATATCTCACGAACAGAAACAGAAGCATCGCTGTGATGCTTTCCCCATAGAAGATGAATACGTTGACTTTGAGGTCATTCAAATAACGACATACCCATTGCACAACATCACTATGAAACATAGAAAAAAATGCTTGTTTGGGAAATCTCTCCAGAAAAGCAGAGCAGATCCTGTTCTCAGACAGAAGTGGGTCCAAGGCTCGGAGGAAATTGTCTCCACTGTCATCATCCAGAATTATAAGACCAACCCACATCCATCCAAAATGCTTCAGCAAATGGATTATCCCCACAGTCTGAAGGGTTTCACTGGGAGCCATGCGGTAAAAGGAAGCAGCTCTCTTTGTTCCATGCTTCTTTGGAGCAAAAGAGCCATAGGAGAGCTAAAATAAAACGGGCAATTTGTTGCTTATGGTTGGAACATGTTGACTCACTGAGAATGATATATTTTCTTAAAGCTAAAAGCACAAGCCTGATGATGATGAATGTGATTTCAT